CAAGCCAATTAATCGACTGTCCGAATAATTGGCCATTAGTCGGTTAATCGTTGCGACTCGAGTATTAAAAACCCTTCAGGCTCCAGCAGCAGCAGCAGCAGCGGGGATCCCTGGTCTCCGGCGTCATTTCCCTCCGTGGAGCGGCTCCACTCCTCCTCCCGCTGCGGGCTTTTGAGTTCAGCCTCCCGGACGGAGCGTCAGAGGCCCGACGTGCTCACACGGACCGTAGAATGCGCCTTCAAGAAGAAGCAGAAGCAGAAACGTTTCTCAGGCAGTTAAACTCTCAAACAACCGCAGCGTGAGAAGTGAGACGCTCGCAGCGGAGAAACTGAGAAGTTATTTTTTATTTTTTTAAACCTCTAACCAGCGTTTCCGTCTTTTCAGATTTACCAGGAGCCGAAAAACGACGGCGAGTGTCTGAGCAACATAAAGGAGTTTCTCAAGGGCTGCACATCGTTCCGCGTCGAGGTAAGTTCTCCACGTTTTGTGTGTGTGTGGAGAGGCTTTTAATTCTTTGAAAATATCTGGAACTAGCCGTGTTGTGATACTTCAGGAGAGGAGCAGCTCGAAACGTGGAGTTTGTTGCATGTTTCGGCGGAGACAATAGACAATGCGTCCGTGGAGTGGACTGACAGAGAGGGAGGAGGAGTGAATTAGCAGCCGAGAACAATCACCCATCGCTGGGCTCGCAGGGATTTGCTTTGACCCCTTCCACCGGGCGACACATATGCAATATTTTGGCAAGCCTTAAGAGACTTTCATTTCTAACTGCCGCCCCTCTGGAGCCTGTTTATGCTCCCCACTAGCGCCTGGGTCATGTTTATGCTCTTTAATTAATGCAAAAGCTTTGTCCTGGGGCTCATGCATGGCTTTATTGTCACCACTGGCCATTGTGTACACTTTACACAAACTGCCAGTGCAGCTATGAACACTACAGGAGCTGGCTTATGTAAGCAGGTCTTGTTCTAACACGGGTATTACAGCCTTATTATTATAAGTCTAAACATGTCCACAGATTAGGCACCTCGCCCCTTGCAGGTTTTGCGAGGAAATATTGGTGCAGTTGTGGCTCATTTTAAAAACCCACCACAATCTAAGTCCAGTTTGTGGCTGTGCATTGGCCAGTGAGTGCATAGAGGGGTCATTGAACCCACCGTGCCCTGACAATGCGACTCAGTGTTCCCCGGCGTAGCTTCTCCACCGAACAAGAGGTGGAGCTGACACAGTCCACTGTCATATTGAGTGTGTGAAACATGCCATTTAGTAGCTCCAGACAGCTGAAATTCCAGAGAAGGAAGAGACGTGCATCATGGTTTCATTGGGGAAAGGCCTCTGTTTGTTTTGGCTGACTACAGGGACAGGTTGTGGCAGCAGATCTGCACTTTTTTACTGGTAACGTCTCATCCTTTATGTGTCTTCCATGGAGGATGTCACCAGTCCTGTGTGAGATCAAATGCATGCAACTCTTTTTTTTATTTTTGCTGGGGGTGAACTCGACAGAGCGGGATTACAGTAATTTGGGACACGGCAGCCCTACCGCTCACCATCTGTAGAGCAAAGATGGATCTCCTCCAGAGCCCAGAGCCCTGCTGGCTCGGGCCCCAGGTAGCTGTGGCGGCGGATTAGAGCCAGTGGCCGCTTTTCATGTGGCGGGCAGAAACAAAGACGCTGCGCTTTTTGCAGTTCTGACCTACCTTTGAGTTAAGCTGGACGTTTGGTCTGTGCTTTTGCAGCGTTTGCGTGTGCAGTTGGAGTCTTTCTGCAGGGCTTGATGTGTTTTTATATCTTCTTTGGATGCTTTGCTCGGTTTAGATGCTCGAGACTGTGTCCGACGCTTGAGCAGCTGCTGTTGCCGACCCTTCACCTCTAATGCCTTTGACCAGAGGAAGCGATCATTAGAGTTCCCATGACCCCTGCGGTCCCTCGGGAATAGTAACCTTACTCTGCATCTACCCGGAGATTAATTACAGATCCATATGTGGAAACTAATGCATGAAATTCTGTGCAGTCAAAAATGAAAGCAGGAAAAGGTAAAGCAATGAACTGCTAGATCTTTGAAATGCTGCATAAAGCCGAGAAAATCACAGGTCTTCAAATAACAGAAAATATGGAAACTGATGGTTGAAATGCAGGTAAAACAGCAACAAATCTCACCATCAGAGTTGCTGGAGTGGAAGAATAGTTTTCTCTTTTGCCTGATTTTATTAACCGTAGTTCGGGCTACAAGTATAGTCGGTTTTATTTCCTGTTTACATGAACAGCTTGTTGGTTTCAAATTGAAATAGTGAATTGCAAGTGACAAAGGCTGCAATTTAGGAAATACAATCATGCTTTAAACTGCCGTGTAAACGTTTCTATAAGTACTTGCCATCCTCCTTGTGTGACAGTCACGCTATTCATGCTAACATCGCTGGTAATGCTCCTTCACTTGTTTTAAATCTGTAACAGTTCAGTGAATATCCAACTGAAGCTTGAGTTTCGAAAATTAAATCTCAAATCAAATCGTCAGTTGCAAAAACTACAAACTGCTCGGCCCTCCTTCTACAGATAGTTGCAACAATAAGTCGACTAATCAGTTAGTTGAATGAGAGAAAATTAATCTGCAGAAGTCATCAGGTCATCTTTCAGCAAAACTGTAAAGTCTTTGATTGATTTTCTGATCTTACGTTAGTGTTAATTGAACTTCTTTTCGTTTTGAACTGTTTTTCTGCCAAAAGGAGGAATCAGACTGTTTCACTTCAGGCTCTAAGAAACTCCTGTGGACATTCATTTTCAATTTTCAGTTAATTGAAGTGGAATAATTGGCGGATAAATTGATCAAATAATTAAAAGAAATGTGTCTGCAATCTGACTTAAATGTGCATCAGATGTTCGTTTCTGCTTTTAGGGCACTAAAACTAAGTAAGTTAACCTTAAATAATCACATATTTCATAATCATTTTACATCAGCAGCTGTCGTCACCAAAGCTCAATAAATTTACCAGACTGATTTAGCAAATCTGATTTTTTTTTAAAACTCTCTTTTTAGGCTGTAATCTTCACTTAATGCTTGTCTGGGGGGCTTTTTAGTCTTCAGCCTGGTCTTCTGGAACTGAAACACATGATCAGCTGGATTGAGGTCAGATGACTGACTTGGCCGGTGAAGAATATTCCACTGTGTAGCCATAGAGAGAGAAAAAAAAACTGCCTCGGCTGTATGTTTAGCAGCATTGTCTTAAAATTGAGGGCATTTTTGTGAAAAATAAATAAATAGAAAGGACAATGACAGCACTCAGTGTGGTTGGAGACCCCCCTAAAACTGTAAAAACCCCTCATTTTGGAACACCACTTTGTGTATTTAACTAATCCCACGCACATGTGACCATAGCTGTAGTATCTGTGGAGTAGTTTGTGGCGATACCCCGTGCAGATAAACGCTCATTTCCTCAATCACAACACTGTGGGAGCAATTTGTTGCAATGTTGTAGCGTGCTGAGTCACAGAGGGGTGTTGCGCTATTGTTTCAGCCTGCTCTGAGGGATCGTTACCTGACTGCGCTGCTGAGGCCCCGCAGACAAGTCGAAGCTTGTCGTGTTCATTATCTCCGAGCATGAATCTTTAATATGCGTCATCCATCATGTGTGTCACCGTGAAGCTGCTAAAATGGCTTTAAATATGGAGGAAAGGCTCACATTTTGCAGACATCACAGGAGAGGAGAAGTTAAGTAAGCAGGTTTTTAGTTTAAATGTCAGCGAAAGTGCAGAACCAGTGAGGGAGAGGGTGCTTGTGCTTGAATGCTCACCGAGGGAGGCGAGTTTTGTAGCTTTGGCACACAAACACTCACATACACACTCCGTTATCCAAACACACACACTAACACAGTCATTCACATATCACCCCCCCGAGGACATATCTGCAATCAGAGCGGAAGATGAAAGCGACTCGTATCTCGCAGTCGCTCGCCCTCACTGTAACTGAAGCGAGAGTAACCAATCACTTGAAGCCGTAACACAGGAAGAGCAAGGACAACTACAGTCATCAACAGAGATACAATCGCTGCCATTCATTCTGAGCGAGAGGCCAGAGAGAGTCGTGGTGATGCTGACAGAGTGTACGGTCTAACAGGCTTAAAAAAAAAGATTCTCAATAATTTCTGACTTCTATCTTTAGCGCTCCTATTAGTGCCGGGGCTACTGGCTCCAAGTCTTCAGTTTCTCTGGTTATGTTAGTTCTATTAATCTGTCTTTTTGTTGTGTCGGGTCGGTTTCTTGATCTTAAGAAATCTTGATCCCAGTGAGATTACCTGATTAAATACAGGTTATATAACAAAAGTGGCTGAAGATATGTGGTTTCATTTGACGAGAAAAGGCCAAGTCACGTCCCTAAAGCAGTTGGATGTTTCTAGCAATCGTCACTCAAACGCAGGACTTTTGCTTGAACTTCTGATCAAAGAATACGTAAACAACATTGTGTTTTCAGCAATGAGTTTACTGCAGCAGGTTGATGTGCAGATGGGCGACAAATTAAAAGAAAAACCTGAACCCCTTGACCCAGTTAGTGAGAGTGATCCGGTGGTTCTGTGGAGCTGTGGAGATTTTTTAGCTGGCATGGTTTGGGTCCATTTGTCTCCTCAGAGAAAACTGTCTTTGCAAACCAATACCAAGTGGTTCTGAGTGATCACCTTTATCCTGTGATGCGACGGTTCTATCCCGACGGGGGTGGGACAATCCTCCATCCATTGGTCTCAAGAGGTCACTGAATGGTTTGATGCAAATGATGTGAGTCATATGTTGCTGCCATCACAGTCAACAGATCTCAAACCTGTTGTCAGGGAGATTTCAGACCAGCATGTCCACCACCATCATCAAAACACCAAATAGGGGAATATGTTTTGGAAGAATGATGTCTCATCCTACCAGTAGAGTTCAAGAGACTTGTAGAATCACTGAAGTTGTTCTGACCCCACATAATAGCTCTACACTTTACTCTGATGCTATGTGTTGGTATTTCTTTTCATTAGTCACCTGTCTGTAGGTGGGACTGATCCATCATTTGGCATGTTAGTGAGTATTCTCTGATGCAGGATGATAACGGTGGGACTGATCCATCATTGTTCGTCATAAAAAAAGGAACACGTCACCAAGAACATAATTTAAAAAAAAAAAATTGGACAAGAATAGAACAAAATTCACCACTGACATATTAATGAAAATACAGGGAATTTGGTAAGATAGTTGTTTGATATTCCATCATAATCTGTGTGCATGATAAGTCTTGTGATATGATGTAGTGGAACAGTTGATGGTCAGTTTAAACTTATGTGTAAGTTTACAATGCGTGTATATTCTGTGTTTATTCATTAGTTATTTTCTGTCTTTCATTATTTTTTGTCTCTATTTCTAACTTTAACAGTCAATCAGCCAAACAGTCTGCAGTATATCCTATCACCTCCTCTTGCGATAAACTTTGGATACCCTGGTGCCAAAAATGACTTTTATTAAAACATGCATAAGCTCTAAACAGGTTCCTGCGACGAATTCTCCTCACCAGAATCACTACTTTATTCCCGGCTTATCAAATACATGAGCAGAAGTTAACTAACCTGTGATAAAAAAAAAAAAAAAACGGACAGTGGACAAAATCAGATTAGAGTACGACAGTACACACATTGATGCCTCGATGCAGTGAATAAATACACAATTTCTGCCTTTGTGCCTTTTTAGTGGCATCTTTTCTTCTTTATTCTCTCAGATGTAAGGTATATTATTTGCCCAGCTTGTAAGAAGACTGGATGGTGTTGCTCGTAGCTGCTCTAGATATATATGTGTGTGTGTCTGCTGAGCTTGTGGGTTTCGCCCACCACTACTGTCAACGATAACGAGGGTTATCGATTGACTGCTCGGCGCTGGCACTGTGGCCAACTGATGACACATTCCTGCTGTGCTGGAATTAGCGATTTTTAAAAGGGGAAACTCATCTGTCACTGACTCTCTGGCTCTTTGCTCACGTTCTCCCCTCTTTCTCCAACAGCCGTTCGAGGCCAGCGACCTGCTGCTGGGACTGAACTTCTCAAAGGTGCTGAGCAGTCTGGTCGCCCTGAATAAAGTGACTGCAGGTTGGTCCAAATGTGTGTGTGTGAGTTCCGTGGTGTGTGTGGGGGTGTTTTTATGAAAGACAGGCAGGTAGTTCTGAGTGTGTGGGTGCTGACTGCAGATACAAGGTCTGGTTTATTTATACTGTGTCCTATTTTATCAGATATCGGCGTGGGCAGTGATTCGGTGTGCGCTCGACACTCTTCAGCTCACCGCATCAAATCGTTTGAGTCGCTGTCCTCTCAGGCTTCACTGGGCCGGTCCTCCAAGCTGCTGCAGAACCAGTTCCGCAGTCTGGTAAGGTCGATGCTTCACTTCCACCCAGAAACGGCACCGCTTCGGAACACAGTGGGTCTGAGTCCCTGAAAAGCTGAACACAATCATTTTTACAACCTGTCATATATCATTCAGCCGTTTGTACTACCTTTGTGAAGCTTTTCATGTTCAGTTTTTGATGAACATGTTGCCAGAGAGCTGTTGAATGGATAATCAGTCACAACCCAAAGCAGTTAACGCTGTACATTCATCCAGTGGCTGTTTTAATATGCTTAATTACTGTTTCCAAGCTTGCATGCTAAATAATTATATAGTGATGAATGGATGGTTAAAGGCCCCGCACACCTTCATGTGGTGTTTGCAGTTATTTCTGCTGATTAGCCCGCTGCTCAGGTCAACGTTTTGACAGAGCTGTGCAGGGAACAACGTGATAGCACTAAAGTCTGGGTGCTAATGAGCCTCCGGTTACATCGAGTTTGCTTCTCATTAACCATCTGAACCCCCCAAGCAGTTTGAGTGTTTTATTTACTCATGTCACATTTGTACTCACTGAAGGCTAATTTTTTCACTGCAATATAAAATCGTTTAGCACCTCTATGGGAACAGCACAACGATGGCTAGAAGTAGAGAGAACTCAAAAATGGCGATTGTGCAGACTCACAGTGTTAAAATGCCAAACATGACTTTTTTGAGTATTTATTTTTCAGAAATTGTAAAAGTCTGTAACCTACAGTATTTTTCCAAATTCTCCCAGCTGTTACCAATACTGGAAAAAATTTGACTTTACTTACTGTTGATGTTTTACTACTTACATTTTTATTTTTATTGCCGTGGTTGTCTGTGTAAACACAGCCTGCAGTTCAGCTCGATGCAGCAGAAAGATCCCAGAATTTTTGTCACTAGACTGCATGTTCACAGCTGAGTCACTAGTTGACTCTCAGTTGTGTTTAGGAGCTCAAAATGTTTGTTTTTTCCCCCAGTCTGGTTACTGCAGACGATTTAGTTTTTGACGACATTCCAAATGAGCCATCTAGGATAAAGTGAGTTCGATAAAATATGACATTAAACTCAGATTTGAGGAAGCTTACAGACAGAACTGCACATCACGCATGATTAGTTTAAGGACTGTCGAAAAGTTAGTCGGTTCTTTATCTTTTTCAAGTTTCTTGCTCTTGTAGATGGTGTAATTTTTGAGGGTTAATTTCTTATACACAACAAGATGAGGCACATTTTATGTCTGTCATGTGTTAACCTCGCTTTGTGCGCTTTGCTTTAACATATGTATTCATTGATTAAGACACAAGAAGCAAAAACATACTTTGTACCCACTGCAAAGAGATCTAATCAGGAACAATAAATGAAAAATATGTGACCCTACATTAAGAACCTAATGTTATTCATCTTAACCACAAAAGGATCACCTGAGTCATACTGTTTATTTGAGAAGCTTTATACAGACACCAATGCAGCAAGCTAAACACCCCAGTCTTAGATTTTATGCAATGGGCAAATAAATAATGACAAATAGGTGAGTTGCTTAAATGGAAATTATCATGACTAATGCAACTTTCAAGATTGCACCACAGGAAGAGGCCAAAATGAAATCCATATTTGGCACTACAATATTGATTTACCCTGATTGCTGTCTGTAGAAGCTTTTTCAAGCAAACAAGTCATTATAATGCAGTCAAATCACAGCAAGGCTCCAATAGTTCAATGGGAAAATTGTGATTGATTACAGAACAACAGCACAAACTGCAGCCACAGTGGAACTGTACATTGCAGCTTCCTGCTTTCAACATAGTAAAGTGTCAGAGAGACAGACATAATGAGCCTGATGAAACATGATGAATAATAAAAGTTACCCAACATCTGCCATCACATGGTGACATTCTTGCCTCCTTCGTCAGGACATGTCAGAAAACAGCGGACAGCAGCTGCTGGTGAAGGCGCGTTTCAACTTCCAGCAGACCAACGAGGATGAGCTCACCTTTGCCAAGGGTGATATCATCAACGTGACTCGCCAGGAGGAGGGCGGCTGGTGGGAGGGGACGCTTAACGGCAAGACTGGCTGGTTTCCTAGCAACTATGTGCGCGAGGTCAAGGGCTCTGGTGGGTACCTCGGCTACCTGTGGGCACATTTTTCTAAGACGAATATGATGGATGATAAAGATGCTGTGATTGGGAGCAACAGATGCAGATGAGCCACTTTATGGTACTAGAATGTCTTAATACTATACTGAGACACTCCCATGCTGTTATACCAAGACTTTAATACCTTTAGAGTATTTGTTGCAACCTCCACAATTAGCAGTTGCATCCCTCAGACCAAATCTTTCTAAATAAGTCTCCTGCCTCTGCATGCATCTGTGAGTAATACATTTCTGCACATCTCTCTAAGACAACCAGTACACAACATCACACATTAGTCGTTGCCATCCAGCTGGCCTTATGACAGTTGCACATCTGTTGCTTCTGGAGTCCTGATGTTTTTTTCTCTGCGTGTGCAACAGGCTGAGATGCCATGTGGCGTCTCTGTAAATATATGTGGAGTAAAGCAAGATGTGCCGTCTCTGCTCAAAGCTTATATCTAATGCAACTGTGATGTGGAAACGTGGAGCCGCTTGTCAGCTTTAGATGCATTTGAAGTGTCTCGATTTGATGGGTGGGAGTTGAGATGGTTCTGTCTGAACTGTAGAAAACTTTTAATTGGCTCATCCTTGTTTTTCTTCAATTCCTTAAAGGGATGTATAAATGCATTTGCTGTATCGGCTTAGATACTGTGTATGTATTCGGTGGTAGCACATTTGTATGAGAGATGAATGGGGGACAATGTGGCGGTGAAGAGAAACTGTGATGCTGCTGAAACAAATATTATGTTCTGATTTACTGTTGTTCTACCTGAATTATAGTAATTATTGTAAACAGGATGATATTCATGAAAAGCCAGCCAGTGTTTTCACTGTGACCTCTGAAATTAATGCCACAAAGGCCTTTTTATGAAGATAATAGCCATGATTTATGGTTAGATATTCGTTTTTTTTATGCAGTGTGGTTTAAATGAGGTCTCATGCATGGGACATTTAAGTAATAAAGGTCATGATGCATTCTAAAAATACGTACATTTACAGTTATAAGATTGCATGTGCTGTACATACATGTAAAAGTATGTGTTCTAATTCATTTGTTTTCCTTCTGGCCACAGACAAACAAGTGTCTCCCAAGTCTGGCACCCTTAAGAGCCCCCCTAAAGGCTTCGACACGTCTGCAATCAGCAAGACGTACTATAACTTGGTGAGGAAACAATTCCACGCTTATTTGAACTGTTGTCTGTCAGTCCTACTTATCTCTCTCTCCTTTCTCCACAAACATCACGTTGAAATTCAAGGATGCTATCTCTGTTTCTTGAGGGCTTTAAAAAAAATGTATTAATGCCTGTTTTTCTATCTGTGCTTTTATCTTTGCTGTTTCCATTTGTAAATGATCTTCCCTGAGAGAATCTGTCTGCTCAGTTATCTAAACTGTGATCACAGTTGCCTTATGATAAGAAAAGTCCCAACTATTTCCTGCCTCACACACAGTGTAGGAAGCATCTTGTAGCACTTAGAAGTAGCTGTAAGACACATTTGTTTATCTGTTTATTTGGTACATGTGGCTGGTTGTGGGTAACTGATGGAACTGAATCAATATTTGGTTTGTTGATACAGTTGTTTTTTTTTTTTAATGTGACACTCAGTTGGCCAACTAGTCTCACCTACCTCTGATTTGATAGCTGTAGTACAACAACCTTTATTTTAATTCTATGATGCTGGTGTTGGATGATGTTTTTCATTTTATATTTGGCACATATGCTGATTCAGTTAGTTCGAAGAAACATTTCAGCCTTTCCTGTGTTATGATTATCACGAGGCAGTCTGTGGGATCAGCTCATCAAGGAAAATTTTGTTGGATCAGGAATATACACCAGACTCGCTATGTAAATTACCGTTGTGATGCTTTTATGGATTTATTACTCCAAAAATGTGGCACTAGCTCATGAAATAAACAAATCTAACTCTACTCCTGACGATAATAAATAACAGAACTGTTCTACCAAAACCTATGAGACATAGACTTAATATTTAAGCCGTTTTTCCCTTTTTCTTGTAGGTATTACAGAACATTTTAGAAACAGAAACAGAATATTCCAAGGACCTTCAGAGCCTCCTGACGAACTACCTGCGACCGCTTCAGAACATTGACAAGTATGACTCATTTAGACATAAAGCAGATGTCGGAAACAGGTTATTTTTAGCAGAATTTATAACATTCAATTTATAAATTTGATTTTTACACAAAGCATAAACCACAAAGATGACTTGATTTTCATTTACATTAATATGTTGTTTCCCTTCTCACGTTTCTTTCCTGCAGACTGGGCAGCTCGGAGGTGGCTCTGATTCTGGGAAACCTGGAGGAGATCAGCACCTTCCAGCAGATGCTCGTCCAATCGCTGGAGGAGTGCACCAAGTTAGTCCCTCCCAGTGCACTCAGCCCCACTGCAGCAGCATCCTCAGGGTTTCATAATAAGCAGAGGGACATCTAGTGTTGGACTTCATGTACTACAGGATGCTCATTTAGACCATAGACTGTGAAAATTGTGATTTTGTACTTTGTTAGGCCAGTTGTTTTTCCTGTACTTGTGCTCCAGTCTATTTTATTCTCAGTGTATGAGAGTTTACATATATATTTATACATTTTGTATATCTGTGATCTCATTATTTTCTTTAGGCTTCCAGAAAGCCAGCAAAGGGTGGGCGGTTTCTTCCTCAACCTCATGCCACAGATGAAGGCTCTCTATGTTGGTTATTGTTCCAACCATCCCTCTGCAGTTAATGTGCTCACCCAACACAGGTATGTTCACGTCAGTGTGATTTAGCAGTGTCTATAGGGGCTGGGTGTATTGTTGGAGTTTGTCTTGTTTACATGCTGTTGGCTGATTGAGGCAGAAATTGTGGTGTCATTGTAATTTCAATACAACCGAAGGAGACAGAATGAATGAAGCATGTGTTTGCAGGAGGTGATCACAAATCATGTTGAGGACTTTACAAGATAGAAATGGTCCAAAAGTTTAGACCAGAACACTGTAGTTGTTTCAGTCACATATTTTATGCACACGTTGAAGTATAGCATTAGAAAGGTTTAATGAAAAGAGCAAAACACAGGAAAAAAATCGCCCCAGTTTGGCAAAATTGTGTTTACGCTCGCTTAAGGTGGTTTTTGACTTTTTGAAAAACGTTAATGTGCATTACGGGAGCTAGAAACATTTCATTAGACATTTAACTCACATGGCTAATAGGCTTTTTCCGCTTCTTTTGTTGTCTTTGCTTCCAGCCAGCATTAAACATGTCCAATACCAACTGACATAAATGAATAAGAAAAGCAATTCCATTTCTCTCATAAATGGCCAAAATTTGTTGTGTTTGTTTTCTCTCTCTTTTTTTTTAGTGTCTGGCAAACAACTGGGCACTGAATCGCATACTTTTTTCTTTTTAATTACATGCTACAGCAGCCCTCACAGACTCGATCCAAATGCGATGATAAGAACAAAACCACCGCTGGCAGCAGCTTAATGCTCCAGCAGGTCATGAGCAGAAGTGGTCCAACAGATCAAACAGGGCATTTTTCTCCTTTAGTGGTGTGTTGAGACCTGACACAATAGAACAAGATTATCTGGAGCTGATAGGCTGAATGTAATATTGGCAGTCTTGGTCACTTGGAACTGAAACGACCTGTGAAGACGTCTGGAGGAGAGATTATTGAGCACGTAGAGGCTGAGCTGAGGTGCATCTGAATTATGTGATTTGTCAGTCGTTGCTTTTTAGGTTATTCGTCATTGGAAATGGGTTTAGGAATTCTTCATATATTGCCAGTCATGACGGACAGTAACAAATATTATCTGTATGAAGCCGGCAAAGAGGTGCTGTTCTGATAATGCTGTCATTTTTCAAAACTGTATTTTGTAACATTAAGAAAATGTCTTTTTAAGTGTCTTTCTCTCAGTGTAGTTGAGGTTGCTTTTTGTTAAATTGACCTGTTTTCGATGTACAATATCATCATTTTTTTTTAGAAATTTGCATCTAGTATTATTAGATTACCTGCCTCTAGAGATTAAATTATTAGCCTAGTAATCAAATTATCACTTGCCTTGGTGAGCACTTATTTTCAGTCGTCTTTGTTTTGCAAAAGTGCCGACATTCTCTAGAGAGAGGCTTTTGCTCTTGTCTGTTTTATATTATGAATGTATTATTCCTAGCTTCTGGACTATTGGTTGGACAAAACGAGACATCTGAAGACAGCTTCTTGGGCGTATTTCACTGTTTTCTGACATTTCACGAAGAAACGATTGATCAAAAAAATAATCAGCAGGTTAATCGATGATGAAACTTTCCTTCTCTCGCTGCTTCTGTGACAGTGTTTACTTGCTGAAAGTTAATCTCCTACTTCATATCAGCGTTTCTTTTAACTCCCCACTGTCTGTTTGAGTTATGAAAGCAGCAGGACAAGTGAGCCGTAAAAATCTGAATGCCAATTAGGATTGCATGACCTTCAGCGTCTTATGAAAGCAGCATAAGATGATTAACAGCGGCAACCGAGTCTGATTGGTGTGCTGATTGTAAACCCTGTGAAGATGCTGTTTGTGATGTCGAGTGAATGTTCAAAATCGTTGGTTGTTAACGTTGGGTTTTTCACTCTCTGTCTCTCTTTTTCTCTTGCAGTGACGTATTGGGGGAGTTTATGGAGGGGCGCGGTGCAGTCACTCCTGGCATCCTCACCCTGACCACAGGCCTCAGTAAACCCTTTATGAGACTGGACAAATACCCGACTTTACTCAAAGAGCTGGAGAGGCACATGGAGGTGTGTTTCTCTACATTAACCATCAGTCGACAGCTATTGTTTTAAGCTGTGTGATTAACGGGCAACATGTTTCTGATCTCGCAGGAGAGCCATCCCGACAGGCCAGACATTCAGAAGTGCATGGCGTCTTTCAAAAATCTCTCCGTAAGCCGAACACACTTCCTCTGCAGTCAGACTTAACACGTAACCAGACTTAATATGAAATGAAATGAATTGATAGCAGGCCTTGAAGCAGCTGTCTGTTCCCATCACTCCAGGCTCAGTGCCAGGAGGTGCGGAAACGCAAGGAGCTGGAGCTGCAGATTCTCACCGAGTCCATCCGGCTGTGGGAAGGAGACGACATCAAGACTCTGGGCTCCGTGATCTACATGAGCCAGGTCTTAGTCCAGAGTCACGCGTCAGAGGTAACACCTTCACCTGCACTTCACTCTGCTCTAAACTGCTACAAAAAGTCAATTTTTTAATCGAATTGGCCAGTTCGTGTCAAAGAGTCACAATAATGTCTTACAAATGCGTGTTGTGAAATTTACAAATGTTACACGAAAGCTACAAACACAGATGGTGTTTACGCCTACGACCATCACCTCATCCTTGCAGTTACAGTCTTCTCGTACATTATTTGGCATGAAATTTCCCCACTGTGCACCGACCCCACATAGACCGATACCTAGTCACTGAATGTTTGCTTCGGGCGCATAGGGATAAATTACTTGTCAAAAAAGCAAAAATAATATTTATACAGTGTTTAACAATTTTATTAGACCACCTGTCTAATTTGTTAAGCACTGTAAATATACACAGGTCATCCCGCATCATGAAGTGCTTTAATTCACACTCAGCGCTCGACGTTTTACCATTTTGAACAGGAATGAGGAATTTCAAACGGAGTTCACCTTTTTATTCCCAAATCTGAGCCACTGGGCTTCTCTGAGAAGTCAGAAATTAATCAAGCATAACATTCAACCAATAAAACAGTTTTTTCTGCTCTGGAATGCAAGTAAATAACTATAATTTGACAACTTAATTAAGAAATAGGAATGTGCTTGACTATTTTTTCAGTTTTTTTGTAAAACAGTAAATTTGAAAATTTATGGATTATAATAATATTTATATTTTAGCATTCAAAATGTCATTTTGGTTGAAGGGCTTCTACATACTGGTGTATAAACCATTACAGAAACATTAAAAAATATATATTTTGATAATTAGCAATGCTGTTAATTTAGGGCAGCTGTGGCATAAACCTTACATAGGGGAGTGGTCTAATAAATTTAAGCACTGTATATATTTGTGTTTTTTAATTGCCTTGAATATTCCACGGCCTGTCTGTGCTGCAGCGCCTTTGTTTTGACTACAGCTCCTCGGTCTGCCTGCACTATCGTGTTCCTACCATTGCAAGCCAACATGCCACAACGTGCAAAAACAACATGTGGACATTTTTTTAACTGCTTGCAGGAGCTCGGTAGTGTCTGTGAATGTGTTAGGGCAAATTAAAGGCATAATATGTGTTAAAATATCAAACATCTGACCTAGATCTTTAGCTTTATTATTATGATAAACTTCCCTCTTTGGTCAGCTTCTCTTTTTCGGTGGTCCACAGTGCAGAAAATGTTTAGAATTGCTGAGTGAAATGCATTATACAGTGACATCCTGCGGTTTACTGTAGTTGTGAATAAATGCCAGATTAATACTGGGGACGTGTAAATTTATGCTGTGAAATGATATTGTACTATTTTTTTTGACAGCTTTAATATGTACATGACTGCAGGATTCATGGCATGCTGTTAAACTCCCCACCTGTGACTTGTTGACAAGTTTTGCCGACACCAGATAATTCTCACCAGGGATATTTAAAAAAAAAAAAGTTTTTATTTATATTGTTGGAAATCTTTCATCTTAACCGGGGCTTAAGTTTGATTTATTCTCCTGCGTTGAATCTGTTTAGCCGTAGCCTGACGTGCACCTCCCCAGAAATAGTCTGCATTGTAGTTAATATGCTGTGTAGATGCAGCATATTGATTCGTGCAAAGATAATGTCCTTCTGAACAAATCGCAATATGTTATAGGCTGTAATTGTGTCTGGCTTGCTCATAATGCAAACACAATAGCCAGTACTCTGCCAGTGCAGCGATATGCTGTTTTGTCATTTACATAGCTCAACCAATCTGTGTAGAGACGCAGCTGGTTTCCACATCTTCTGTCTCTTCTGCGCTACAGTAATTTCAGTGAAAGTAACTGAAATGGCAGCTGACACTGCCTCATTTCAGGCATTGTCTGAAACATATGAACAACTAAACACAGTAGAATAGGGACCACACTGTTAACTAGCAAATTAGTGGTGTGATTGCAGAGCAAAACGGACGCACTAGCGTAAGCAAGGAAGTACAACTATTGACAAAGGTGTAGATTTTGCATGGATTCAATACAGGAATTAAATCAAGCTTTAATCAGATCTTTCCATAACAGATTTCTAAGGTATGCCTTATTGCTCTCTTATATTTACTCTCTCCCACCCACTCTACATTTCTCTGTCTTTCTTTTTCTTAACTTTCCACCTGTTTGTCAGGAGAAGAACGAGCGTTACCTCATGCTCTTCCCCCACGTCCTCCTCATGTTGTCTGCCAGTCCCAGGATGAGTGGCTTCATATTCCAGGTCAGTAGCACCTCCCTTTTAAAGTTCCTCTCCCCAAACCGCTCTTTCAAATCTTACAATGCACTGAAAGTAATTTCTCTTTTACTTCATCTGACGTAGTGATTTCTTTCTGTAGGGAAAACTGCCCCTTGCTGGCATGATAGTGACCAAACTAGAAGACTGTGAAGCCCATAAAAACTCCTTTGAGCTCAACGGTAAGGCTACATGAGAAGAACAAGATGTCCAGTTAACTCATTTACAGGTGCTGCCTTTAATAAAACAGTCTCTGTCTGCGCAGGCACAATGTTTGACCGTCTCCAGGTGGTATGCGCCAACCAGCAGGACCTGCAGGACTGGGTGGAGCACCTGACCAGACAGATCAAACACACTGCAGCCACAGCGCCCAGCCACAAACCACTCACTGTTCCCTGCCACACGGTCAGCAGCTAATTATTGCACATATAGATCAGTTTCTTTCTTTTCATTTATACCCCATGTGGCATAAACACTGTGAATAGACATATATATGTTGATTTCTTATTGCCTGTGACCGTAAAAATCAGTAACCATGAGAGGTTGACTCACCTCTTGTCTGGTAATCATCTCAAGAGACTAAGCAGCCCCAGAGGTAAAGTGGCTTATATCTCCCACGAGAATGACTTTAATGCACAATTGCATTTGATGAAATGAATACAAATGCACATTAATCAACATTTATCCATAGGACAAATTGGCTATGAAATAAATGATAAACAATGACGCTAATTTTCTTTACAAAAGGCCTCTTTGCATGTTGGTGGCTGCATTGTGAACAGAGGTGTCTTATGTGGGACTTATATAAAGCTATGATTTTGACTGATTAAAAATGGGGAGGTGGCATATCTGTGGGGAGAGATTTGAGACATGTCCAGCTAGGAGTAAATCCCACAACATATCCAAGACGCACTGGTGGAGTTACAGTTCCATCTGGCTGGATGATGCTTCGGGATTCCCAGGAGAGGCTGCAGATGTGGCTGGGACTTTGGGCATCTGGGCTATTGAGCGATACGACTCCCAAACGGACTTTTTGCCTGCCCGTAACGTTAAGAGGACCATCTCTAATAACTTTTTTGTTACTAAAAACAGCAGTTCAGATAAGTGTTTGAATGGCAGTCTTTAGGAATTTATGTAATGCTGCGAATTATTTTCCAAGAGTTGAATCCAATTCCGATGACATATTTGTTAGAATTTGCTGAACATAATTTAAATGCAGTCCATGCAGCCAAACCCAGAAGTACGCCGCAGACTTAACATTTGTGGCATGTACCTCCCCTGCTTCACTTGAATGAATGGCTAACATGTCTGTAAGGTGGTTTCATTTTCAAAAGTCAGCAAACAGCTTCATTTTTATCCATGATTTTTCTATCTGTAATGTTTAACCCAATGTGAATCCTATTTTTAGTTTTTAGACAGTTCAGCATGGCCTGCTAGTTTTGTACATTTTGCATTAGTAAAGACTTTAAATAGTTTTATTCTTTATTTGGAGTGCAAGTACGACCAATCTGAACATGATTACACATTGAATATTTGATTAATTCCCGCATACAAACTAGATTTCTGCTTTTAAACCTCAACAGTACCGGTGCTGCTTTATAAATGCACCGCTGCACAAGTTTTCTGCCACTCTGTGATGCAGATCCACACATAAACCAATCATTTCTGAGCCAAGTGGTACCAAAAAGGATGATGTAAAGAGCCTGGCTTTCGCTACTCAGTACATAGTAAATGTAGACCGGATGTTTTCTGGGGGCTGATCAGGGAAACAGCAGTTGTGGAAAGAACAGAACCGTCCATCGAGTAATAAACAGGACTTGTTTTGTCTCCCCTAGCTCCCGTCTCACCCCCTCACCCCTTCCCGGCACGCTGAGGGGAGGTCCATGACAGTGGCTCCTACCTACCACACCCTGCCTCACCCCTCCTCCCACGGAACCTCCCACAGCACCATGATGTGGGGCCCACTGGAACCACCCAACACCCCCAAACCCTGGAGCCTGAGCTGCCTGCGACCTGCACCCCCACTACGGCCCTCTGCTGCCCTCTGCTACAAGGAGGTGAGGGGATTTAACACAGTTTGAACATCTGTGTGTTTGTTTTTTAATAAAGATATTACATTTAATGCATTTTTGCCTCCTGTGTGCAGGATCTTAGTAAAAGTCCTAAGAGTGTGAAGAAACTTCTTCCAAAGCGCAAACCTGAGAGGAAACAGTCTGAAGAGGAATTTGCCTTGAGAAAGAGTATGTTTAAAGTCTTTTTTTTTTCAATGTGAAAAAATATATATGAATATTATGAATCTATAGTCTGTTGATACAGTTATGGGAACATTGTGTACTTGTGTATTGCAGATTAGAGAAATATATTAAGGTAAAGATTAGCAGCAGAGAATAATTAATGGGATGCCTTGTGCTCTATGCTGCTTTTAAACATTATATAGCTTTTCTTGTTTGTTTGCTATTAACAGAGCACATGTTCAACAACAAACAGTCACTTTTACAACAAAATGTGCATGTTATTGTCCACATAGCAAAGCAGAACAGCTAACAAACAATTGTGTTTGTGTGCAGATTCAAAAACTTTATGATAATAAGCTTAATGAACTCCTGTCTCTCCTACAGCTAAAAGGAAAAAGTGTGTTTCCTAAAATATCCAGCTACTCTTTTCGTGACAGTGAGAACAGACAGAATTTCAGCACCATGAGCGTGGTAATTAATTGCACCTTCTCTTTCTCAGGTACAGCAGCTCTGGAAGAAGACGCCCAGATCCTGAAAGTTATCGAGGCGTACTGCACCAGCGCCAAAACCAGGCAGACTCTTAACTCCAGTAAGAAAAAACCTAAATCGTACTCTTGCACAAAAGAAGAGAGTTTCATACTGGAGCTTGCTGTCTTTACTCTGTACTCAGTGCCTTTCTTTAACGCTGGTATTCTGAACTGATCCTTCTAACAGTATCTTTTCTTCTTCCCGTCTCTCCTCCATTCCTTACTCTTTGGCATCGTTCTGGTTTACGTTGAGTTCCTTCCTTTTTTTTCTCTTCATACTGTGCTATAATTTCCTCCATGTGTTCTGATTTCCTTCATCATCTTATCCCGCATCTGTCATTGGTTTTATGATTTATCATTTGTTGCATCTGCCACGTCCTCCTCCTCCTCCTCCTCCTCCTTTTACCGCCGTTCCTCTTCCTTCGACCACCATTTCCTTCCTCCACATTTGCAACGTCGCCGTCTGCTCGGCTCGTCCGACCAGCCTGGCAGGGCACTGACCTGATGCACAACCACGTGCTTGCGGACGTGGACCAGTCCTGCGTGGACTCGCCGGGCCGCCGTAGCAGCGTGTCGCGGCCAGAACTGACCTCCGACCTTTCGGAGGACTCTGACTATGACTCCATCTGGACCACCCACAGTTACAGGATGGGCTCGGTGCCGCGCAAGAGCTGCATCTCTCACCAGAACTAAAGAACGTACAGTACTGCCACGCTGTGCTGTGATGTAACGTACAGCGCGCTTACCTCTTTTACCTTCAATGTATTAAAAAAAAAAAAAGAAGATTTTTTTAATTTATCTATTTATTTTCTATTATATTTGTTCATTTTTTTGTTAACTTATTTGGTTTATTTATTTTTTTTGGACAATTTCTTTGAAGATGTTTTAAGCATCTCCCTGTTGCCTTTGCCACTTTCCCTTTTATGTGCCTCCTCTCTTTCTGTAGTTGTCATGCAGTAAGTGTTTGGTAATTAATTGTTAATTTATCTTGAATGTGACCGCTCCCCTTGTTCGACCATAAACGTGGTGGACTCTCAGCAGAGAGTACAGGGACTTTGGAGTGGAATATTAGGGGAGGGAGACCCGGTGGGAGGGAGCGATGGGGACTGAGCTTTTCCTGTCTGATATTCAGATGTAATTCAGGAACGAGTGTATTCTATTTACCGTGTACTACTTCTCTCCAGTATGTGTTTTTAAGAGTATGAATGCTCAAACATAGCACAGATGCTACACAAGCACGCACACACAGGTTCAGGCACACATACGCCCCTGCTGTCCGATAACATAGCGGCATGCAAATGTAATATCCAAGTTCTCAACATTTTATATCGTCGCTGTTGCCATAATTTGCAGTTCTGATCATGTTGCCAGCCCTCAGCAAGAAAAGAAAAAAATCCAACATATTCAAACAGCTATTGAATATTCAGAGTCCTTGCTAACTTTAATAGTTTGTGAAATTCAGTCTGTTCTTTGTCGTCTGTCGTAGCTGCTACAGAAAGAGGAGATTATCACATACTCTTCACTCTCTAGTCAAGATTAAACTGGATAGAAGCCAGTGTACTTAGAAGAGTGAATATTAAGGGTCAGTTCACCCAAATTACAGAAAACGTATTTTACCAATGATAGTAAACATGAAGATAGTTTTGATTTAATATGTCCAACTAGATCCCATCACTAGAGTAAAGTGACTGAACATTTTTTTTTTTTGTCTTTTGTATTTTTAGTGAACTGACCCTTGATGTCATTCATTTTAATAACTTCCTTTATTGTGCAGTCTCCTAAACATCATCCTCGATCTGCCTGATCTTACATCCAGTGAGATTCGTCTGTTACTGTCACAGGGTTGCATTTATACTGTTTTAAATCTCAAGTTGCTGTATTTATGAAATGAAAAAAAAAAGATTCATATAAAAGCAGGCATAGTGTATCAGCCGGGCGTTAAGAAACTGTAAAGTACAAACTAGAACAGTCCTGTAATACAAACCTGGATGCGTTTGTTTGATATGGAAGTGTCTCCTGGTAGGTAAAGGAATAGTTTGTCATTTTGGGAATTACATGTACTTGCTTTCTCGCCAAGAGTTAGACGTAAAGATTGATTTTACTCTCATATCTGTTCATTCGGTATGAATTCACAGCTTAGAGTAAAGACTAGAAGCAAGCCTGTAGCACCTTTAAAACACACTAACAAAGAACAATTGGTTCTAACAGGGTTGCCAGGTCTGTGGTACTGAATTTAGTTACTTTTGAAGCGTTACCATGGGTTAAATGTTTTTCAATTGGTTTGGGTAGACCTGTTTTGCATGCAAATTACATGAAAAGTATCTAGAATTGAAAATCTTTATTTTAAATTGAATAATTTGTTAATAGTAAAATCCTACCAAACTGATTCCAGATCAGCGTGTGGGCATACGGTGCTGCAAACCTGGCAACCCTGGCGTCTGAGCTTCAGAGGTGCTACTTGACAGAAAAAAGTATAAATCATTACATTTATTTTAATTTTAATGAACATTTTTATGCTATATGTGGCTAAACACATCACCTACAAGTACGAACTGATATTGGCCTTCTTGTCTCACTCATTAGATAAAAAGCAAAGTGCGTATCTAACTTCATGTTTCAGTCTTAAGGTGCATGAGAATGAAAAACAACAAATCTCTTTACATTTGCTACACTGTCAACGTCCTCTGCTTCAACACTCAATGCTTAGCTTTACAGACGTAAGAGTGGAATCTAACTCTCTGAAAGGAAGCGAATATCCCTGTTTTTCCCTAAAATGACGAGCTGTTTCTTTAGGGTGTAGCTGCTGTCGTACGCTCCGACAGCTTGAACGGGTTAGCGCGATATCTCTTGCAAACGTCCCTCTTGTCACAACAAACTAGCACCTATGCTCTGGCCTCACAATCCAGACTCGCCTTTGTTGTCGTCTGGCTTGCGAGGCTCCCCATACTATCATGCATTAATGACTATTTTTATGAAGAAGTATTTTTCCAGTATTGGTAATAAAAAGTACAGGTTGACATCCTCTTACAGTAAGCAATGTGAGTGACATATGGAAATATATTGGTCCACGTTACAGTTTGAACTGTTTCTGAGATGATTTCTTTATTATATTTATTACTTTGTATACAGGCGTTTGTTTTTTGTTTTTTTTTTATTTATATTTTATTCTGTACGTCAATGTTTACAAAATGATCCCTGGATGAATCATTTCTTTTTCTTTCTTTTTTTTTTCTTTTATATTTTATTGGTCTGTATCGAAGTTTACACTGAAACTATAACATGAAGTGTTGGAATTATTTTGCACAATCATGTAACGGGGGGCCAGCGGGTGGGAGTGGGTGGGCGGGGGTAGAATCTGTTAAAATTCTGTACTTTCTGTCGTCTACCTAGAGTGTGTATGATATATCCTAAAGGTAGACTTAAGTATTCAGTGTTTCTGTAAAGTAAATGCTCATTCGTAGTGTAAATGCTCAACCTTCAGTGTTTTGGTAGCATTGAGGGTTAAAAAAAAAAAAACAAGGAAAAAAACAAGAGACTGCGATTATACAGGAACATTTCTATGTGAACTACTCATTCAACCTCAGAATACTGTCAGAGTGGACTTGAAATATAAAGAGCACATACGGTAGTCTCCCTTTCTGTAAATACTAGTTGTCTTGGAGCAAGAAAAAAAAATAAAAAATCCATTCTACCTTCTATGAGTATTTGAGCTAAGAATATCACTGTCCTTATATCATGTGCTATACTTTGTGACAGGTGTATTCTGTGGTTTAAGAAACTTAAGTCAAACTGTGGGACAGGCAGGGTGACCAGACTAACTGTCTTTAACCAACGGTGTCCTCTGTGTGCTCTAATGTCGTATTCAGTTCACACACGTGACCATGTCTTATCTGCAAACAGCGCCTTCAGTGTATTTGTTCTACACTGCTGAAGTGTTCGAGTCCCAAACGCTGTATTATGAGTTTTGAATAAATTTGTCATTTGGTAGACGCTGGTGATTATGGTGATTTGTTGTTGGAGGACGGCAGATCTGATTGTGTTTGGGAAAGAGGGTGGATTTTCTCATTAATTTCAAAATGACAGATGTGTGTTGTGAATTAGTCGTACTTGTGTTTTGTTTGTGCAAGAATCTGTCCACAGCCTCTTAATTTCCTTCCACTATCCTCTGACTCTCAGATCTGGTCTGTGCATGACTAACACTCTACTACTACCGCTGACTGTGTGTGTGTGGCTTCTTTTTTTTCTGCTTCTCTTGGATGCCGTCAGTCCTTCCAGGAAAGCTCAGGCTGTGGTGTGAAAAAAGTAATTTAGTGAAGATGACTCATCGTACCACAAGGTGAGACTGAGTGAAGTACAACTGTTGAGTGCTCTTCTGTTTCATAACAGGACCGCGAAGGGAAACGGGGCTGCATGTGATCATCCCTGGTGAGCAGAAAGTCCTTGTGGAGGATCCCAGTCGCAACGGGCAAAGTGCAGCGGAAGAGAAGTAAGATGATTAATGAATCTCTCTTTCTTATCCTACGTAAAGACCACAACCAAGTGTGTTCCTTAGTGAACACTAAGATGTTTTTTTTTTTTTTTTAAAGGCTGAACATTCTGGCAAAAATGTGCTTCAGCAGGAGTAAATGGTGCATTTATTTGGGACTATTTTGACCTGTGGATCAATATGCATGTAGGCATTATCAGTGGGGGAAATAAATTGCTGATTTTGTTTTTTTAATTGGATTTCTTGACCAAACAAATACAGAATATTACCAGACTTAACATTTCAGTAGTTGTAGTGTTATTTCTGGTAAGCTTCCTGGTTTAGGTTTTTGCTATGGTTCTGTGTGTCTCAAAGCAACAGTTATGGATGCAGTGAAACCGATTTTGTTTGATGCCAATATAAGTTGTTGTTTTTTTTTCATTACAGGAGCCTGGTGGATGTGGTGTACGCCCTCAGGGATGAAGTTCAAGAGCTGAAACAGGTGAGTTCATGAAATGTTTCATAACAGATCATGAAGGTGTGATTTACTATTTACGAATGACTTTAAGTTAAGGCTGGCTAGATTGATTTTATGATCTAAGCGGTAGATATAATGTTAACTACTATTAGCAGATTTCATTAAAACATGAGGAATTTCACATAATTTCTGCAAACTGCAGCATCCCCTTTGCTTTAGGTTTGGACAAGGTGACTAAATGATCCATTAAATCGGTTTAGTGATATTTTACAGTTGCTACTGTAACTTGTGAGTGTCCCACACTCTAGGTTTGCCAGTATAGATGGCATCAACCTTACGCCTTTAGATATACAAAAATATGTACATGTTTGTATGTAAAGCCCTTAAATAAGGGATTGGTTCACAGGAAAAGTCTTTCAGAGGTGGTTAAAGGCTTTTCTAAAAAGAAGAAGAAGAAAAAAAGAATCAAATATATAACACTTACAGTCCCCAATATAGAGAAACTTTCAGCCTGGGGGAAAAATAGACGTTTGTCAATAATTTGCATTTTAACTTTAGTTCAAAAGTGCTTTTTCATTTTGTAAGAATGAGCCATACAAACTCAGAAAGACAAAAAAAATAGAACGTGGTATAGACATTGACAGAGTAGTAAAGGGAATTATAATACAGTCAAGACAGCAAAATGACCCTGTACAGGGAAAAAAAATAAAAAGGTTTAGTCCTCTCTGGCATTCAGAAAATCAAATCACCATTTGTAGTATGTGTGTTACTTTATGACATGAGTAATGTGAACGCTTTCCACGGCAGGATAATAAGAAGATGAAGAGGTCTCTGGAGGAGGAGCAGAGAGCCCGGAAGGAACTAGAAAAAGTAGTGAGGAGGGTGCTGAAGAGCATTAATGACCCGACGTGGGATGAGACGAACCTGTGAGGCTAAAGTGCACGTCCGTCTGAAGCTCTGAGAAAGAAAGAGGCATGATACCATGAGTGGACTTTGCTTGCAGTGTGTGTGAAATGCACACACTCACATCCATAATTTAAGGTTGGTCGAGTGTGAGTGAGAGCAAGAGTGCATCGGTAAACAGGTAATTGTGTGCTTGTTTGAGATGGATGTGTGTGTGTGCGCGCTTTAAGAGGAGTGTTGTTGCCGCCACTCTGCTTGATAGGCAGGCCTCACTGGGATGTACTGCTGAACTGCATCCACCATCTATTCCACAATAACATTCCTTGAACGCAAAGTTAAGGGTGAACAAATCATACTCTTCTATCATCTATCATCAGTGTCTCTGGCTGTGTTCAGGAGGCTGGAAGATAACCGGAGAGAGCTGCTCTCCTTCTGTTTACAATCATTTCACAGGACCACTACGCAGCGGTACATAAATGGTACTTCAGTGGTGGTAATGGTCACAAAGGCCTTGGATGAGTCTGAACTTGAATAATGCCATTTCATAACCTCTCTTATGTTATTTAATTTTTATATGGGATGATTTTTTTTTTTGCAGGGTACCTTTCTGGGACACAGACTAAGCCTTTTAGCCTGTTAGCAAAGCTTGTGCCAGGAAACTCATCTTCTGTGTCTTATTGTTTTTGTTTTTAAATCCTTTTTGTGCTCTTTATTGTTTGACCACTTTCCGGGCGTCCTAAGGGAATTGTACAGATATTGAACTTGTACTGTATAATGTAAATACTGCAAAAAGATGAGCCTTTGTCCTTTGGGAGAAATAAATGTGTGCTTTCAAGAAGGACTTTGAGTTATTGTGTCTGGACTACACCACAGGGAGCTGTGCTGTTTGTCATCACACACAAAAACCTATGAAGTGTTCATACTTTCACAGTTTTTGACTATTTATAGCTCCAACTGATTTTCTATGGATTTTACTGATTTTTCCATTGGATGATGCAGGTAAGCTTTTGAAGAGACTGACTTGTATGTAAAATGTATAAATAACAAAAGACCATTAACTCATTCATCCATCCATTTTCTATACACCGCTTAATCCTCACTAGGGTCGCGGGGGGGCTGGAGCCTATCCCAGCCGACTTAGGGCGAAGGCAGGGGACACCCTGGACAGGTCGCCAGTCCATTGCAGGGCCCATTAACTCATCTTTCTTTGAAATTATTTTCAATTTACAATTCCTCCATATGCTTTCATTTCCATGTGTTTACTAAGGTGTAACACATGGTGAAATTTGGGACCAATTGAATTTTTTTTCCCACACATGCTTCCATTTGGACACAGTGTTTGTTAACATGGGGTCCACTTTCATTTCTATACCGATGACACACACATATGTATCTTCCTGTGAGTTCTAATGACTGCCTTTCTGATGTCAAGAAGTTTTTCAGTTGAACTGAGACAAAATAGAGATTCTTGTTACTGGGTCGCAGAATGACGTGAAACAGATTCTGACTACGTGTCGTAAAGACTCTTGGTTCGACAGTAATCTGAGTTTAGAACAGCACACCACAGAGTTTGTACCATAATGTTTTTAGCAAACAATTCAAAATTACATTCAATCTTAACTGTTAAGACACAGACCATATTACAGGCTTCTACTTCATCTTGCTTGGATTACTGCAACAACCTTTTTATTATCTGCCTGAACCAAAAATCTATTGACTCAAAACTGCCAGGGTTTAACCAGAACCAAGAAACACAAGCATGTCACTCCTGTTTTCTCCTCTTTACACTGGCTGCCAGTATGTTTGAGGATAGAGTTTAGGATTTTACTGATTACTTTTTAAAGCTTTTCATGACCTCTCTCTTGGCCAAATCTCTGACCTTTCCATATGTACCAGCAGTTAAAGATCGTCTGTTTTGTCTGTTCCACAGGCCAGACATCTAAAACGGGACATTTGCTGTCTGGGCCTCAAGGATCTGAAGAGGAAACCTGGACAGCTGAACCAGTGATATCAGACTAATACTACTTATACTACTACTACTAATACTTACTAATAATAGAAGTTGGGTACTACTGTCTTTGCTTATTGTCAGATGTGATGGCCTTTGTCAGAGTAAACTTAATGTCAGATGTGATGGCTAATGTTAAATATACTGACTGATTTAGTGCAAAGAGAACAAAATCCCTCAGGAATCCCCCTTTGTGAGCTCGCAAGTCCCTCTAACAGGTTAAAACTCTTATAATACAGTTAGCAGCAGGTAAATTAGTCATGTCAGGTTTAACAAGCGCTGTCAGGTGGTGACTGCTTCAGAATTTGATGCAGTGGTGCACTGTAAAAGAGACCCATTGAAATAAACAAAAAACAAATGCTGATTTAAATGCAGAAAGACATTGTCATTTTGCAGTTAAATCTGGTGAAAGAAAGAATTACATTTTGTAAAAAACAAACAAACAAAAAAACAAACAAAAAAAATATTTTCACAGTTTTGCCCCTTTTAAAACAGTTAACATGTAAATTAATACTTCTTTTCTGTGGTTTTGAAATAAGTGTTTTAAAAATCTATTTTTTACAGTGTATTTTTACGTAGTGACCTAATTCAACCCGCCTCGCTCCCACGTGACACACTGAACTCTGGCGCTAATCAAAACAAACGCACCTTTTTTCAAAACGCGACCGCGCCTTTTAAATGTTTACCACGTGGCTGCCACTCTGTTTGTTTACGCAGCCACCGCAACTATTGTTTGTACAACATTTAACAAACACGCTTACATTATTTAAAAAGTTGTCATTTGCGGGTTGTCCGTATTGCTAACCTCCCTTGGATTGGAAACACTGATTTCCTCTCTGTTGACAGTTTTGGACCTTTATCATCTTTTCCACAAAGGTCTGCACTGAACAATCCGCTTTACCTCACCAAGGTAAGTGTGTGCTGACATTGTGATCTGTCTTGTCTGCTGATTTTGTGCTGAGCTCCTGTTTTTCCAGTTTACTCAGTGGTGCTGATGCTGTTATTAGTGCCTACCAGAACTACCTAGTATGTCATAGGAAGCATTCTAAAAAAAAAAAGTCTTGATTAAATTTGGCCACTTGTCCCACCAAACAAAAAGAAAAGCACCTGTGTAGGTTAATTGATAACAGAAACACAGCAAATTAACTTTACTCTCACAGCTAACTACACTGGAGTTAATGTAATTTTCTTTAAGCAGTTTTAATGTATTTATTTTGCTATTCGTGGCACATGTTGACATGCATGTTTTCCACCATTTGCACCCCCCTCGTCTGCTCAAGGTTTAATGGAACCAACTTCTTGATGGCAAGTAATTTAGTTGCATCAACATCAACAGCTGAATGGTAAAGGAAAGCTCAGTAACTTAAAGAGACACATTTGTTGGATTTGCAGCAAAAAGGTGGCAGTCAAAGACACGAATACCACTAATTTACAACTAGTAGCTCATAATTAAGAGAAAAAGACAACTGTTCATCAGGTAAAACTTTCATGATTGTGACAGCCCTAGCTTTGGGCTACACCTGCTTGCTGGGGAAATATTGAGCTTATGGCTGTTGGCTTCATGTCTGTGTGGATTCTTAGTCATCCCAGTGATGGCAATCCGAGGTCAGCCAGTCAAAACTGAAGGAGCCTCTCAGGTGAGGGGTTAAACATCTTCAAAAACCTAAAAGAGAAGTCAATTTTTTCGCCCTGATGCTTCCGTTTTTATCTGTTTGCTGAAAACAGATCCACTATAGCTTTTGATAGATTTGGGGAGAGTTAACCAAACCAGTCATGTTACAGGCTGTAAAGTCTTAATGATCTGCTGTATCATTGCCATGTGTACTATCCTGCTGCTGCACTTAAGTGGATTTATCCACCTCATTTCATTTACATATCATATTTCCCTGTTGGTCGAAGCGGGGGCCGGGCCGGACCATCCTTGGCTGTTGCCTGGCTCACGCTGTATATTTAAAGTAGGTTTATTGAACAAGTCGCTGTCGTCTTGTCTGTACTGTGCTGTGCTCGGTGTGTGCAAGTTTAGGGCTTGGATGTCAAATATATCTGTGTATCTATATGAAGAAACTACTCATTAGGATTTTTTTTAATTATATGGATCTATAGTGTATATAGTGTGTGTTTAGCTCTTTGTATTGTATTTCTCAGCTCTTCCTATTTATAGTTCATTTGTTCTCTTTTCTTCCTGTCACTTTTTTGTGCTCTTTCCTGTGTCTATACTGCTGCAACAAGTGAGTTTCCTCATTGGTGGTGAAAGCTGAAGTGCAATCTAATCTAATGGTTGACTAGTTGCTGCACAAATACAGGATCTGCAGTAGCAGTTTGTACAAGTTATGCATTCACATCATAAATCTGTCCCATATGAGTGGACTGACTGAAGACACACAAAAATGACCCATAGTGTCATACGCTTCTTGTGGTTGTGTATATATTTGTGTACATGCCACGTGTTTTTCAAAAAAGCACCCCACTGAAGTCTATTGTGTATCTTTTAATGGTGACAAGCTTTGTGGCGGGAGGGGAGGTGGGGGGGCGGGGAGGATGATGATGATGATCCCATTCTGCTGGATGAATAAGCACAGATGTCAACCTTTTCACTGTGACTCTCACCTTGTCCACTCATTAGTAATGAAAACAGTGGCCTTTTGTTTCGTGTTGAATATTCCTTCATTGGAACAAAGGCACATTTCACATTCATCCTGTGAGGCAGATCTGGGCAGATAAACCCAGACCACAGCGTGTCCATGCTCTGCCCTTGCTGTCATGACTCTCTGAAGGTCTTCGGCCAACCGCCTGCCTCAATAATGAACCAGAGCACGAAGAAAGCCTCGAAGATAACCTGGATCTCTGAGCTGGTGTTACCTGCTTTTCCGGTACATCTTGCGGAGGACACCTGGACACCAGCTTCCCTTTTATTTCTACTTCCACTAAACTTAAGAGCCTTTTTTTCTCCTATCAAGTGTCTGGTGGGTGAGAAACTTGTGAAATGAAGAGGCAGACGTGTATTATCAAGGTTCTGACCTGCCCCAGCCCCTCTTCACACTCTTGCGGCTCTTTCTTCCGACCAGGATGGAGTGACAGCTTGTCACTGTGGGTGCCCCACAATACGGCTCAGATCCCCCGACTATTGTGGAGCTCAGAAAAAGGCATCAAGGTCTTCCTCTCTCTTTCCTTCACTCTTTTCTCTCTCTTTTCAAAGCAGAGAATCAATCAGCTGTACACACACACACACACACACACACACACACACATACATACACACACACACACGACTCATTTCTTTTCCCTTCCCTCTGTCTATTCAGCAGCCAGTGATCATTTAGACTTGACATGTATTGTGAAAAACTGAGCTGCTTTGCCTCTTTCTTCTTCTCTTTCTTTCACTCCCTTTCTCTTTCAACTGTCTGTCATTAATGTCCAGGTCTTACAATATACGAACAGTGGAGGAGAAGAAAGCGAAGAGTGAGGGATGAATTGATGGATGGGAGGATAAGCACTCAGTGTCCTTTCTTTAAAGATTTGTTATTGTACAGTACTGTCTCCCAGTCATTTTTGGTTGGTGTTTCAGTCTGAAAGCCCGTCCACGTGCTCTTTTGTATGGGAAAGCAATAAGGCCCCATTGAATGAAGCTGAATGGACCTGCCATCCTTAGGGGCTGAGGCCTGAGGACTCCTATTCTTTAGCCCCCAATCTAATTGGAGCTGAAATGAAATGGAGGTTTCTTATGAAAATAGGCTTTGTTTGGCCGCAAGGCTGGTAATTCATAAACAATAAGCAGGGCCCCATTGTGTAGATAATAATATATTCATGCCGCTGGAGATGGGGAGAAGGCA